GCACAATTCACTGTTCGATCAAGAAATGGATCATTCGAATTTCGCAGATGCAGGATTGAACGCACTTAAACACTTTGACTTTCATTGAGTTCGTACTGAATCAATTGATCGAGTTACTTCCCCTTGCCAATTTTCTAGAGATGGTCCGATATTGCTGAAATGCTGACACCCTTTATCTGAGACATTTCTCTAATACTTTGATCTGGGTTCTTTTCAACTAGTGTTTTCAGACGTTGATTGTCATTTGAAGACGGACATCCTCTACCACCTTGATCTTCAAGATTCGTATCCCCACTGCGGAACTTCAGAAACCAGTGCCGTACTGTCAGAGCACAAGTGGATCCTTAGCCCTATGTTCTGTTAATGCTGACGGCAGTTTGAGAAGCATTATGACAAAGCTTGAAGACTAAACTAAAGATGCGGGGATATATAATGTTTTTAATTAAATTCTGAAAATGATTGATATAAAATTAACAAAGAGGACACTTTAATCATTAGGAATGAGTCATATATTTTTGTGCAATTATTATAACTTAAGTTAATGAATGAATAATCCCATGGTGAGTTCTACAACAATAGAATATCAGTGGAAATTTCCCTATCGTTAAATATTTGTGCTAAAATTAAAAAAAATAATTAAAAAACAATCATAAATCTGAATGCTGGTCGTTATTTAAAGAAGTAAGGGTGTACAAATGAAAATGATAAACTTTTTTCATTTCACTGAAATAAACGTGAAACAATTCTATTTTCCTTTCTTTCGTTCTTTCTTTTTCTTACTGAAACCAAGTAGCGTCTCTGATATGTCTTTCCAGTTTTTTTCCCCGCAATCAAAACGGAATCCATTATTTATGAAGTATCGGCAGGGCGTAACGGCCGTGCTAACTAAGGTTGGGACAAGCAGACTTTTAATAGGACAGTATATTAGAACACAATTAAAAGCTATATTCTAAAATAGGACGTTATTTTAATTCTTTTCTGTGAGTGTTGAATGTAAGTTGGCTCATTTGGAAGTGTATATCCTACAGGGTTTGTCATCAGTTCATTACCTATTGCAATGAGTCCAATCAACATGGCTTACGGTTAAATCACCGAAGTTAAGTAACCTCAAGCCTGGGCAATACCTAGATGGGTGACCACTTGGGAATACCAGGCGCTGTAAGCTTGGATGTGCAGATGGTGTAATGGATAATGGCTCGGAGTTATAATTCCAATTGGGTTCGTTATATTCACTTACGCGCAAATATTCTTGGAAAAGGTAAGAACCCACCTCTTCCCCTCAACGGGTTAAGTAGTAAATCTTGTATCTAAAAAAAGAAAAAAAAGAATTAAATTGCTTACAGAATATTTAGATTTCGGTTTTAAATTACCCATAGAGGTGTCGATATATGTATATGTATAACTGGCCACTCGTATTCGAGGTGACCCGTCTACTAGGGAGGCTCAGGCGTTTATTCAACACATACTGCAACTATGCCGAGTAGACCTTAGGAAAGAGCGTGTTATCTAGCGTGATCAATAATTTGAACAAGGCTAGCGATGACTTGTAACTTCATGCTACTCAATTTTCGAACAAGGCCAGTATGCTCATGCCCTCGGCCACGATGACTTGTGACTTGGGATTAACCCCTTCAGGGTCACATCAGGAAGTCGGAAGTCTCGTTCCTGACAAATCGACCATCGGTGAGATTCGAACCCGGATCTCATGGTCAGAATGCGAACATTCTAACCACTCGGTCATGGGCCCATTGATATTGATAGACCGCTAAACAAAAACAACCACCAGATCAATCTTCGTGTTCCGCGAAGCTGTACAAGTCCAACCTTAGTTAACAGCTTCACTTTTACCCACAGTATTATTCCTTTGTGCCAATCCAAGCTAGGGTCAGTTATATTTTTGCGTTCCTTTTGGGACGTAAGCGATCCTGCCTCTCCGCAGATTCATTTACTTTATTATCTGTGGTTAACTATTTCTCCTTGGGAAACATTATTGAGTGGCTTTTCACTGCTTTCTTCATGGTTTTTCAATTCAGAGTTTTCCTTGTTTAGTCTGTTTGACAACCAAGGCTAGAGAGTCCAGACTTTTCTGATAATTTAACCGTGGCTACAAGGAGAACAAATAGATTAATGACTTTCCTAAAGGCACATCTATGAAAGTCAAGACAACAAAAGAAACTGTGCACAAAGAAGTTATATATATATATATATATATATATATATATATATATACCGTCATCCACAGACAGACTGTTTCGCTGTTTCACAGCTCATCAGTGTGGCTAGACACCCGGTTGCCTCCAGCTAGGGTCGAAACCCGACTGAACTGGGATTCTAACCATTAAGCTATCGGCGCACGGTAAGGAGGAAAGTGGATTTTTAGCGTGTTTATCTTTATAAACACGCCCAGTGATCGGGAGTGACTCAATTCGCATTAGCGAAGAGTCTCGCTATATAGCTATAATAGTCACTGTTTACCAACCCACATCTCCTCCCCAGAGAGCTCAACTGAAATTAATTTTTCAGGAGCCAATACTACGAAATGGACAAAGTCAGACAATTATTATTTTAAGATATTGTAGTTTAAAAACAGTAAAATCGACCTTGCTAATCAAGACGTTCCTCTGTAGCTAAATTGGTATAGCACGTCAGGCTATATGACGGCTCCGTGTATGATACAGGTTCGATTCCTGTTGGGGGACACATATTTTCTATGAAAATTTCTCGCACATGCAGACCGGTAAATGCTGTTAATATTGTTTATTATAAACATAGCATTTACTGAAATATTTGTATCTATAAAAATAACGTATAAACAGAAAATATCTCCAGAGGACTGAATTTTGGTCAAAATTCAGTCCTCTGGAGTAATAGGCCTGGGTAATAGTATATGGAGATCATGCACAGCTCAGACTACATAACCCACCTTCTCGAGTGTATCGACAAGACCCAAACGAATACAAGATATGACATTTAGGGACGACTTGGTTGCAGGGACCCCGGGACTCCACTCCGTGTTTTCTGTCTTGATTTCATTCTACAACCTTTTCCGTATTTGGATATGACCGCAAGGCAGCGGAGATTTAAAATCCCTTAGACTGACTGCCTTACTGGGCTATAGATCTCTAGTAGTTCGAAGGAGCTGGTTATGAAGCGCCAGTTGCCCGCCAAAAGCCATTCTCCGGCCTGGAACTGAACTTATTTGTTAGCGTCTATTTGAAATGCATAACACGGATGCATTTTATAGACAGTGGGAGTTTGTCCCCACTATCACCCCCAGCTATGACAACTTTTCGAACATATATAATATACGTACATAAACATAATATACATTACGTGTTTTTAAAAGCTCTAAAATAATTAATAGTTTTATATATGTATATATAAAACGTTAGTTAAAGAAAACACTAGAAGCAAAACAAATGACAAAATAGTAAATAAATAACCTAACACAGATATCGAAAAGGTTGTTAATTTTAGAAAAAGATAACAAGAACAAAAAATGAAAATATAAATTGGGATTTAAGCCTAGAATACTCGAAGGTTATGAAGTCATTGTTTAACATACAATAAGATAATTTATACTGAATTTTTGACAGTACTAACACCTAAACTATCAATTGATAAAAAATGAACGAGAGTAGAAAGTGAAAAGTTGATAAATATAACTTTAGGTAAGCAAAAACAGAAAGTGATATTTATTCTGTTTGATACAGAAATGTGGCACAAGGCCGAAAAGGGGATTGGGGAAAGGACGGTCTTCTTCTGTCTTAACTATAACTTAGCTAGCCGCAAGCACTGACCCAAACGTACGAAACAATATTCCTTACACCAAAACAACACATTCATTCGTACCTTTCTTACTACAACCACCATAATACCTCTTTGTCTCTATGAAAATACTAACTATCCCCATATTTACAATTCGTGGTCTGTGGGGGGAAGGGAATAAGCAAAAACAGAAAGTAAATATGACAAACAATCTTCGGGTTAGTTGTACAGAAAAACTCGATAACTGTGGAAAATGTTTAAAGAAATAATAATAAACAATACATATACAGCTTCAAATAAATATAATAATCATAATATATATAATGAATGAAATAAAATAAATAATAATTGCAAATTATATTAAATTTATTATATTGCTTATTAGTAAGCAATGTTTATGTTTTTTTCTGATAAGATTAAAATCCGTTCATTTTTTTGAGTTTCAATAAAACGCGTCATCTTTCCTTGAGTTCAGAATACCATATAACGGACAACCTAAACTAAAATCTTAATTTAATGAAAACCGATAAAATAAAAACATGTTAATTCAAACATTTTAATGAAGAAGGAAAAATATAAAATGAAAATCACGTATAAAATAAGCTAAGTAAGAAAATGTATCCGTTCGTATTTGTCTGTTCCAATTATTGAAAAATAAATGGCGTCCGAAAAATTCCGTTGCCACAGTAAAACGACATATTTGGGCTTCTTGTGTCGCCCAAACATTTACCCGTCGAATATAATGCTAATTTATACGATAATTGTATGAAGATATGTAGCCAGCTTATTTCAGTTTGGCGTGAGGCCACTCATATGAAGCTTACGAGATGCAAACATACGACAATAACAATTATGTGTCAGTTTATTTTGCTATTATGCCACGATCATATCACAGTTTTAGTTGCTAACTACACATTTGTTATGTCATATCCTTACAAGACGTGGGCGATGATGGCCCTCCACAACTTTCTTTTTGTTATTATAAGAAACCGTTCTTTATTCATTCGCTTTGCCCTTGTTTTGTCATCCATTCGCTTAAAGCCGTTACTCCCGATTTCCGCCTGCTAATCATGCCGTCACATGTTCTATGAGTGTTAGATTCTCCGAGCTTTCTTTCCTTATTATGAGTGTTAGATATTTTAGCTGCTTAATACGTTAACTGGAAATGAAACTCAGCCCTCCGATTAACAATTGCGAGCCGTTATCCATTACACCACCCGCACATCCAAAGTTACAGAACCTGGTATTCCTAAGCGTTTACCCACTTCGGTACTGACCAGGCTCAACATTGCTTAACTTCAGCCATCGTACGGGAACCGGTGTTTACATGTGATGTGGTCGTAAGCCTACCTAGTACTTGTTATCGCGAGTTTCCACTATTGACAGGGGGCTTTGTTCCAAATTTTCTTTTGGAAGTTTTGTGGAATATCAACATATTATGTCATTATTTTCTCTTTGATATTCATTTTATTTGTTACTGTTGTTGAAAGTCCTCAACTGATCTTATTTGGTACAATTCTTTATTGGTAGCGCCGGTCAACGAGGTGCAAAGACGGTTGGTTCTCGCTATGACCTACAGGATTCATTCGCTCGAAGCCATTTTTTTAATCATTTGATCTGAGAAAGCCGCTGTATACAGCCGGCAGTTTAGATATTTCTGAACAGATTTGATGCTATCCATATGAAAGAATCGCTCTGCCGAGGATATTTAAGTAGATGTTTCGAGTTATGTGGTTAATATTTTTGTTTTGTCACATCTTGGGTTGTTGGACAAAACTAACCTGAATCTATTCCATGTTCAATTTTTAATCTCTTATACTAAATTCCTGATAACTGATCAGTATACAGTGGAATTTGAAGCGGTATTTACTAATTCTACATTCTGAATTTTATGATATATTAAGGGTAAGTTCCATCACTTCTTACGCAGCAATTCCAGACCGGAGTTTGCAATTGTACGATATATATATATATATATATATATATATATATATATATATATATATATATATATATATATATGTGTGTGTGTGTGTGCAAGTCTATCGCTAATCCATCTCTATTTTCATGGAGAGTGTTAAAACGAACTACACTCCTTAACAAAACACACACATACACACACACACACACACACACATATATATATATATATAATTGTAGATATCCCCGACGAATGGACGAAGTGACTCACAGAGGGTCGTTCCCGAAAGTTTGAAGTCGGGATTTTGAAGGTAGCATCAATCAGTTCAGTGACAAACTTTTCATTGTATTATATATATATATATATATATATATATATATGTGTGTGTTTGTGTGTGTATAAATGTAAATGCTCTGTTTATAATAAACAAAATGCTCTGTAAATGCTCTGTTTATAATAAACAATATTAATTTACTGGCCTGAATATCTGAGAAATTTCATAGGACATAGGATATTTTCTATGAAATTTCTCATTCAGGCCGGTATATATATATATATATATATATATATATATATATATATATATATATATATATATATATGACATATATACTGCGGATCATGCTACTTTTGAAGACCTAATTTTGAAGTTAATTTTAAGGAGGTCGCTTCATATACGAGGTATAAAATTAGCGTATTGACTAGAGGTTAGTATAGCAAATTTTAGCGTCTTTTTTTCGGCGAAAAACGCATTAATTTGGATATTCTCGCAAAAATCAAATATTCGTCAGATTTAAATGAAACTTTTACGACTTATTCACAAATAAATGAAATTATTTTACAAATGTTTCTTTTTAAACCTTAGAAGTCACATTTCTTTGGAGGTACCTGGTTATTTATTTGTAAACGTTTCAATTTTCATAAGATTTAACACCATTGTCTCATTGTAAACAATACGCATGCGTAAAAATACATTTTTGACTCAGCAAAATCCATCTCCTTATATAAAGTGTTACGTGTATTAATTTAAAGTGTGAGTTGTTCCGGCATGCAATACCAGTCATCATATTCTGTTTTCTTAATTCCTGTCATGCTAGACAATTTTTCTCGATAGAATCTACCTAACACACTTTTTATAAATCTACCATTAGTCCATGCATTCAATATTGCTGCCAACTGCTCCTGCTATACATTTAGAGATTCTTGATAAAAGAATAAAATAGTTATTGGTCCTGATCTGACATCTCGGTTTCAATCACTATCCCATCACCGTAATGTAGTTTTTCTATAAATACTTTCATGGTAATTGTTCGAATAGACTTTCCTCTACGGTACATAGACTCTATGAATTTAAGCGTAGTTCTAGATTATTGGCAAGGTCTCATTCTTTTATATTTGAAATGGCTGCATGTAACCGTAAGTTCTATGCTAACAGCTTCTTCTATTGAACTTCTCAATTTTGGAACTCTCTTCCGTCTTCTTGTTTCCTAGTCAACTTTGATCTTGAAAAATTTTAATGCAATGTCAATCGTTATATTCTCCTTAATTCTTGTTCTTTTATTTTTATATCACCTTAATAATGTTTTCTTTTTCGCATATTCTATCACATTCAGTGTCTTTGTGGCTTTATTGAAATGCTTGGGGTGAAATTATTAAATAAAAAAGTTGCTTCACCGTGTTGTGCTAGACAATGTTTTCTCGACAGAATCTACCCAAGACATTTGTCCATGCATTGAATATTGCTGTCACATCTGGTCTAGTGCTTCTGTCATGTATTTTGAGATTCTTGATAAAATACAAAGAAGAATCTGCAATGTTATTGGTCCTGATTTGGCATCTCAGCTTCAGTCACTTTCCAACTGTAACGTAGCTTCTCTGTGTGTTTTTTCAATAAGCATTTTCATAGTAATTGTTCAAATGAGCTTTCTTCTTTGGCACCTAGACTTTACGAATTTAAGCGTAGTACTAGATTGGTGGCATCCTTTTACAGTTGAAATGGCTAGATGTAACCATCAGTTTTATGCTATTTTCTCCCACAATTCTCGCTTGTGGAAATCTCTACCGGTTTCTTGCTTCCCAGTCAACCTTGATTAAAAATTTAAATACAGTGTCAATCGCTATTTTTTTTTTTTTTATTCCGGTTCTTTCTTCTGAATTATATCATTCTTTTTCTCATATTCTTTCACACTCTGTAAGCCCTTACGTTTTAGCGGCTTTATTGCCTTCTTGGGTGAAATGATTTAAAAATAAAAAAGTTTTGACCTAGAATGTTGTGATAAAAAGCAACAATACGATGAAGTGAAACTAACAATAATAATGTTTTTTTTTTCTATTTCTTTGAAAGGGTTAATTATTTGTAAACGTTTCAATTTTCCTAATAATGTAAAACCGTTGTCCCATTGTAAACAATACGCATGCGTAAAAATACATGTTTTGACTCAGCAGAATCTTTCTCCTTATATAAAGTAATACGTTACGTGTATTAATTTAAAGTGTGAGTTGTTCCGGCAGATACTTATTCATGTGTGAGTGTGTTTTTTCTATATCTCTGTTGTCTGAATTGATTGTGTACATCGCTCAGCATGCAAGTTCTATGGACAGAGTATCGTGAATGACGAACTAATGCTAAAAATAATGACTTTATTTTTTTTTATTCACAGCCCTGTGTCTTAAAAGAAACAGAAAATGGAGATATTGTTCTGCGCATGCGCAACTGAGAGGCGAGAAAAATGACACCTCCTCAAGCCCCAAGCTCCATCTTCCTTTTTTCTTTTCACTTTATTTCCTTTCGTATTGAATCGGCAGGCAAATGCTGTGTGACCAACCATGGCACGTCATCATTCTGTTTCTCGTCTGCCTAATGAGCCATTATCCGGATGCGCCCAGCCAGAGTCGATGGTATTGCCTCTAGATATGCCGGAAGTTGCCATTTAGTAACACATCCGGCAACTACTGCAGGGCTGCTTTGATTTATTTATTTATTTATTTTGGTAAAGAGTCCTATGTCACAGAGTAAGAAGATAGATTCAGTGAAACGCTAATAAAAACTGAAACATTAAAACATATCAACAACAAAAAATAATTAAAAAGACTAAATACAATTAATGATGAGTGGGTCGTCTCCTAACAAATAAGTTTTAAGGAAATTAAAAATCCCTCTTGCCATAAAGGCTCGGGTGATAACAAAAAACCAGTCGATTTCTGTTGCATCAAGTCGCGGATGAGGGATTGCATTTGTCGTTCCATACAACAGCAAAACGCATCCATCCATCCATCCATCCATCCATCTATCTATCTATCTATCTATCTATCTATCTATCTATCTATCTGAGTCGGTTCGTATCTATCTATCTATCTATCTATCTCAGTCCGTTCGTATCTATCTATCTATCTATCTATCTATCTATCTATCTATCTATATCAGTCCGTTCTTATCTATCTATCTATCTATCTATCTATCTATCTATCTATCTATCTATCTATCTGATAGAATTAGGATGTGCAAAAATATATGTACGTAAGTATATTCACTTGAATTTACACACAAATTTACAAAGATAATAATAATACTGTCTATTCTATAATATTAAATAGGTTTTTAAATATTTATCTGAAACGCAGCTTGGCCTACACTTTCCTCCAAAATTAAAATCACAGTGAAGATATTTCCGACTGTGGATATGAATAAAAATAATTGGGCACTTCGACGTGGTGCAATGATTAGGAAGCTTGTCTTGCTAGATCAGTTATGATTGAGTAGTGAGTTCGAGCCTTACTAGTTGCACAATACTTTCAGCCTTGTGCCACATCTAAGTTGCGGTTAAAAAATGGTTGCTGTGACATTAGGTTTATAATACCCAGAAATTCATACACAGATGTGCTCAAGGACACATGGCACAGTGGATAAAGGACCCAAAGTGTGTGAGTTCAATACCCGCAGTGGAGAACTTGGAGAGGGAAATTAACAGGAGGTAACTGATAACTGACATCTATTAAAACATGGCACGTGTAACTAGAACAGCGTATAAAGGGTTCAGTTCGACATTCCAAGCACCTGAAGAAGGCCGGAGCTTACAACGGACGAAACGTTGTAATAAATAGTCCGAATAATGTAAATAGTGTACATAATACCTCATCTCAGAAATATAGACAGATACAGTGATATTGCATTGTATATGTGTATAGGTATATAAGAAAAGATATAAATAATGAGTTCTGAGAATATTAAAAGTTGTTGCGTATTATATCAATATTCGTAAAATCCATTTTGTATTCACTTTTAATCGAAGTCAATGTTTTTGAGCGGGTACTTGGATTTGTGGATGCATGTAGACATTAATTCGGACCTCGTGTTCAGCAAGTTAGGATTATTTAAGTGCTTTAATATAATATGCTTCTTCAACGACTATCAGTTACATGTCTC